CAGAAAAGGGGGGCTAGTGCAAAAATGAGTAGTGGGGGGGGTTTAAAAAGGTTGGAATTTTTTTAAAAATGCAGTATTGAATGTGGGGGGAAGTTTGTGGTTTAGGAGGGTGGGGCAGGAGGAAAGAGGGTGATTTGGGAAATGATGAAGTAAAGGGGTGTAAAAAAAGAAAAAGGAGTTAAGAGGTTTTTACAAAACAAAGTGTTATAAAAAGAGCAAGTATATGGGAGTAAAGAAAGGTAAAAAGAGTGGTGGGGAGTGCAAAGGGGAGCAATATAGGTGGGGGAGGCAGTCAAGAAATTTTTTAAAGAAAAAAAGAAAAAATTTTGGGTGAGTTAAACAAGTTAAGAAAGCCTAGGGGGAAAAAATGGTTTGTCATTTTAAAAAGAGTAGGGGGTTTAGTAATGGGGAGTGGAGGTATTGGGGAGATGGGGAATTTTTTGGGGGAAAATTTTAAATGTTTAAGGAAGAAACAGAGGCAGTAATTTTTATCACGGTCAGGGGGGTATACCTCTTTTAGGAGTGAAGAAGACGAATTAAGTGTGGGGGAGGTAGTGGGATTTCGTAAAAAGAAAGGGGGTAAAGCGCTGGAAAAGATGGGTCTGACAGAATGTTAAAAAAGCAGGGGGGGGTATAGTGTTGGAGTGGTTGGGCTTTTTTTTAATAAATGTATGAAAGAGGGAAGGTACCTGGGGTTGGCAGGGCGTTAGTCCCTTTAATAAAGGGGGGGGACAAAAGAGACGTAAAAATTTTAGAGGAAAAAAGCTTATGATAAACCAGGAAAATTTTTACGGTAGGGTTATAATTGAAAGAATTTGAGGGAAACAGAATGTAGGATTTGGGATGAGCAAGGAGGTTTTTTTGGGGGGGTAGGGGGTGTGTAATCAGGTGTTTACATTTAAACATATATTTTAAAAGTATTTTAAAAAAGATAGGGAAGTTTTTATTGCATTTTTGGGTTTAGAAAAAGGCATATGATAGGTGGATGAGGAGCAATGTGGCAGATGTTGCAAATTTGGAAAAAGGTGGTAAGTTTATTAAAAGCGTAAAGATTTTTATGAGGAAGTGAGGGTCAGGTAGGGTGTTAGAAGAGAGGGGGAATACTTCCCGGGAAAAATAGGTCTTTGCAGGGATGTGTAATTCACCATGGTTGTTTAATAATTTTGATGGGGTTTAAAAGGGAAAAAATTTGGGGGTTTGGGAGAGGGGGGGATTAAATTATGGGAATCAAATTCAAAATGGGAATTGACACATTATTTTTGTGATGAAAACTGTGCTTATGGAGATCTAAAGAAAAATTGCAAAGGTTAGTGGGGTAGTTTGGATGTGTGAAAGGTAGAAAGTTGAAAATGAAAAGAAAGAGTAAGGTGAAGAGGGGGCAAATGATTTAGATAAAGAAAAATTGGATATCAAAATTGGGGGGGGAGGGTATGGAAGAATTAATGTTTTCAGAACTTGGGAGTTGAGGGCGGCGGATGGTTTATGAAGGATGGGTTTAAACATAGAATGATGGGGAAAAAGGTGATGGGGGGCGTTGGGTAATGTGGAGTCAAAAAAGTACTATGGAGGAAAGAAGGGAATGTATGAAAGTATAGATACCCAAAAACCCATATGGGTGTGAAGCTTGGGGGGTAAAAGCAGCACGAGGAGACGGTTGGAGGGGCGGGGATTCCTTTTTAAGGGCAATGGTGGTGTAAATATTATGCAGAAAATTCGGAGTGTGGGAAAATTTGGAGAAGGTGTGGAGTTAATAAAAAGTATTAGTCAGAGGGGAGAAGAGGGGTTGTTGAGGTGTTTGGTCATTTAGAGAGAATGGTCACGTAGAATGAAAAGGAAAAGTATAAATCTATAGGGGAAGGGAAAGGGGGGGTAGGGGGCGTCCTCGAAAGGGTTGGGGAAAAGGGGGGTAAAGGAGGTTTTGTGGGTAAGGGGCTTGGACTTCCACAAGCGTGCGTGAGCGGTTAGATAGGAGTGAATGGAGACGAATGGTACTTGGGACCTGACGATCTGTTGGGGTGTGAGCAGGGTAAATTTAGTGAAAGGGGTTTTAGGGAAACCGGTTTTTTTCTATATCGGACTTGAGTCCCGGAAAAAGGGAAATACAAAGCCCCGCACTTTAAAAGGAGGGGTTTGGATATTGGCAGTTTGGGGGGGTATGTTGTGTATCTTATTGTTTTAGCTTCTAGATGTTGTAAATTTTGACACCTCGCAAAAAAAAGTGATAAAGTCAGTGTGGTAAAATGTTGAAGAGAGAAAGTATTTTTTTTTTGGGGATTTTCTTTTTTTTGGGTCACCCGCCTCGGTGGGAGACGGCCGACTTGTTGAAAAAAAAAAAAAAAAAAAAAAAATTCAGGGAAACCGGTTATTTTCATATAGTCGGACTTGAGTCCTGGAAATGGGAAGTACAATGCCTGCACTTTAAAGGAGGGGTTTAGGATATTGGCAGTTTGGAGGGATATGTTGTGTATCTTTATACGTATATGCTTCTAAACTGTTGTATTCTGAGCACCTCTGCAAAAACAGTGATAATGTGTGAGTGTGGTGAAAGTGTTGAATGATGATGAAAGTATTTTCTTTTTGGGGATTTTCTTTCCTTTTTGGGTCACCCTGCCACAAGTACTCTCTCACTTACATCAAAACTTCCATCGCATTCACTCAACATTTCCCAAACTCTCTCTCTCCTCTACACTTCTCTTTTCTCCAGGTGCATTAACACTTACTATAACCCACTTTTCACATCCAACCCTTATTTTACTCCACATAATCCTTGAATTTATACATACATATTCCCTCTTTTCCTGCCAAATTTATCCTTCAACATTATTGTTACTCCTTTAGCTCTTACTCTATTTGAAACCCCTGACCTAATCCCAGTTATTTCACCCCACTGAAACTCTCTTATCCCCTTCAGATTTGCTTCACTTAAATCTAGGATATCCAGCTTCTTTTCACTCATAACATCCACAATCATCTCTTACTCATCATTCGCACAGCATCCATGCACATTCAAACATCTCACTTTGATGGTTTTCTTCTTTTTCTTTTTAGTAAGCTATATGGGAAAAGGGGTTACTAACCCAGTGTTCCCAGCATTTTAGTTGACTTTTACAACATGGATGGCTTATCGAGGAAAAATTCTTATTCCACTTCCCCACTGATATGAAAGGGAAAGCAATAAGAATTAAAACTATTAAGATAAAATCAAAGAAAACTCAGATGAGTGTGTATACATAAACATGTACATGCATGTGTAGTGTGACCTAAGTGTAAGTAGAAGTAGGAAGATGTACCCAAAATGTTGCATGTTTAAGAGACAGAAAAAAGACATAAGCAATCCTACTATCATGTACAAGAAAATATAGGCTTCCTCCTTACACTCACTTGGTAGGATGGTAGTATCTTCTTGAGTGGTTGCTGCCTACCAACCTACTACCTTGAACAATTTTTCTTTCCAAAATTTATAAGATTTAAAAATGTTTAATTTACATATATTAAACACCTGTAAGGAAAGTTCAAAGAGAATATTGTATTCAGTGAAGATAAATATCAAGAATCCTCAAAAGTTAATCTTTCTGGTCTTGAGTCAGCAAGCAGGGTACAAGTTGCACAGCCACTCACCTAATTTTCAAATTTTCAGTTAAAATGCTTTGACATAACCCAAAATAAATTCCCACAACACTTGCAATGTCCTGGATACTTTGACGACAAACGTCATAAATAGCCTTTCTTCATTTTTCAATGTTGGCATCTGTTTTGGACACTGAATGACAACCAGAGCACTCACCATCTACTGATGTTCGTCTTGCTTTGAATTAACCCACTGCTTTATCACCAAATGCATGTTGAAGCATTTTGTTAGTTTCAATAGTCATTTTACTGAGCTTGAAACAGAATTTCACACATGCATGCTGTTCTTTCTTTTAAAAGATTACATTCTGTCACACAAAAAATGACAACAATGCACTGGAAACAACAAAATCTGCCCATCTAATCTCAATGGAATGACTGAATATGCACTGAAACTCGCCATGCTACTTCACAATGGAGTGTACTGCACAGCAAGATCTATGCCACTGCCATATTTCACCCAGGAAGTACACAAAAATTCAAGACCGGGAATTTTTTTTATAGCATCTTGTATCTTTGTTGTATGTTCATTTGGTGTATATATAGTGAGTTCCTATATGTTTGGTACAACTTGGCAAGGAAATGTGGCTTACAATAATGCTCACACACTATCTAATATCTATTGATCAGTCTCAACTTTGGTTACATCCAACTTTGCTCAGTATACCCACTTTAAACATCCACTCACTGTAAATGCTTGAAGTAAATAATAACAGAATGTAAGGTAAATTGTTGTGCAGTAATTTTTGTTTAGTATAATATTAAACTAAAATGACTGGCAAATTTGTAGATATCTGAAATGTAACCCTATTTTCTTCATGTTCTTCTTTACCTAGCGTTAATTTACATAATGCACCACGTTATAAGAGGAGTTATTGCATGCTTAAAAATGCTGGCCTGGTGAAACATTTTTAAATTGTTTTATATAAGTATTTCAACATTTACCGAAAAAAATCTAAATGCACCAGCACATATTTAACTAAAACAAAACACTTAGCTATTACTGATAGAACAAGGTGAACTAAAATGGTATAAAATACCGACAGGTTGTTAGGTAAGACACATATGCAACAGTTAGGTATCTTTATTATGAAACGTTTCGCCTACTGTTTCATACTATGGAACAATGCTCTTCTCCAGACTGAAGGACTGACCACCTCAAAACTTTAAGGGTGATGGACTGATTATATCGTCTTCAAGTATCTTCTGCTTCTATCAACTTTTCTGTACTCGACTGAAGAAGCCTACTGTGTAGGCGAAACGTTTCATAATAAAGATACCTAACTGTTGCATATGTGTCTTACCTAACAAGGTGAACTAAGGAATTCAAATACCACGGTTGCAAGCCAAACAAAAGCACAATAAAAACTAACCTTCAATTCACTAATAACACTCTGCACTAAAGCAAAGACTACATTGTTAGAGTCGTTGATATTAATATAGGTTGCAATCTTGCACAACTTGACACAAGTTACAGCTGCTGCCTCCGTTAGGTGTCTACTAGTGTTGTGGGGTATCAGGGCTTTTTTTAATTGGTCGATAAACTGTTTCTTCTTAAAATGTCTTTGGGAACATGGAGCACCAGCATCTGCATTCACAATTTCTTCCAACACTTTCTGTTAGACAACAAATAAATATATTAATTAAAAAGTTTAGTATAAACACACTGCAAAATGTGCTCACATAACAGCAGGCTACATTTTCTCATCATACATAACATTCTTTCATGTAATATTGCCTTCCCATACTTTGTCAATTTTCTTGGTTATTTTTTTCAATCACATGTACCAGGTAATTAAACTGATGATGAACAGTTTGGAAAGCAAAATGTAGACAAGTAGAGTAATGCACACACACTTGTAACAGAGCAAGGCCTTATTACTGGACAACATATTACTAAAAGAAGAGCTTTTTTTTAAGTCATGGAAAAGCTCACCTTTGACCAAAAAATTCGCTAATAAACATTGCTCTACTATAAGTGTCTTTGTACCTCATAAAGAACTACATAATACTTAAACTTCAGCAAGATTTTGCAAGACCAGTCAATTCAACAATCTATAAAGATACAAGAATTAGTAAGAAAGCCCATCAAACTTTGACCGAACAACTTAAAGTCACTCGGAACTCGCTGGGTGATATGATCAACCTTTTTCCTATTTCAGTGTCACTTCCTCAAGAAAAAAAATAAAATCCTCATATGAGCTTTAGTGTATATTTTTTTAATACCGTATCTTAAGTAGTCAACCGGTTTTATATCAAACTGTCAGATATTTTAAATGTAATGGACTGACCAAGGAAGAGAGGAAAAATGACTTACAAAACCACTCCATTTACTAGATAAGTGAAAAGAATAAAATTACATTCATAAGAATTATAGAATTATTAGCTGACATCTTTTCTGTAAATAAAAAACACTCCTAATTTGGCTATTTAAATTTCAAAAACATATAAATTACAAATTGTGCAAGGAGGATCTCCAACAGAACAGAATAAGAATACAGTGGACCCTCAAGTTTCGGCAGCCTCGACTTTCGTAAAATTCGACCTTCGGCGAGTTTTTTTGGCAAAATTTGGCCTTGAGTTTCGTGATTAGACCCGTGTTTCGGCGACCGTCCGGTACCCGTCCACCCATCACAGCGCACACCAAGCCAGTCTCCCACGCCATTCATGCTCAGTGTGCCATTGTTTACCAACACGTGACCATCACCCCGCAAGTTCATACATTTCATAATAATCCATTGTTTTTTGTGCTTGCAACTGCTAAATAAGTCACCATGGACCCAAGGAAAGCTAGTGCAAGCCCTTTGGTAAATAAAGTGTTGGTACATGAAGTTTTCCAGTACCACCTCCATCATCTTAGCCCTCCATGTATCTTGGCCCCCATGTGGCTCCAAGTTCTCCCAGTCGATCTCCTTGTGGTTAAAGTCGCCCATGATCAGGAGCTTTGCCCTGCATGCATGAGCTCTTCTGGCCACTGCAGCCAGTGGGTCAACCATCGCTCTATTGCTCTCGTCATACTCATGCCCTGGTCTCCTGCTGTTCCGTGGTGGGTTATACATCACTGCAATTACCACCTTGGGACCTCCAGAGTGAAGCGTTCCTGCTATGTAATCACTTTCTTCTCCGCTGTCTCCTCTCTCCAGCTCATCAAAATTCCATCGGTGTTTGATCAGCAGTGCCACTCCTCCACCCCCCCCTGTTCCTTCTGTCTCTCCTCAGGATCTGGTATCCCGTTGGAAAGATGGCATCTGTTATCATACCTGTAAGCTTACAGGTTTCTGTGAGCGCTATGATGTCCGGTGATGTCTCTTTGACTCTTTCGTGCCACTCCTCCACTTGTTTGTTATTCCATCAGCGTTTGTGTACCTTTCCTTCAGTTTTCCTTTCCAATACTGTGGTTTGGGGGGCCCTTTGGGGGGAAAGGGGGAAGACCTGGTACATACTGTGGGATTCTATGATTGGGGGTTGGGTGGAAGCTGTGGGTATGGATTGTATTGTGTGTTGGGATGGTGTGATAGGTTGTGGGGTTCTGAGGATACTTGTGTGTGTGCTTGCCCTTGCTTTTCTGTTCTGCTCTGACTGACCTCTGCTGGTTCCATCCTTTTTTCCCTTTTCCCCTATCCCCCTTTCGCTTTTTTTGTCCTCTCCCTCAGCTGCTGTCTCTCTGTTTGTGTTCTGTCTCTCTCTCGGAACACCTTCTTGTACTCTTCCGAGTTTTTGAACATTGGTTTCTCTTGGAGCATCCTGTTCCTCACTGTTTCTGTCCTGAGAATCAGCTTCATCGGTCGGTTTCTCCCCTTAACGTACCCCCTATTCTCTGAAAATTTACAATCTTGTCCATGTCTTCTCCCCCTATTTCCGTGATGATTTTCCCAATCTCCTTTCTTTCTTCCTGCCATCTTTCAGTGTGTGTCTTTTCCTCTCTCTCCCGAAGCCCATGGATAAACACTGATTTTGCCCTTTCCTCCCTCTCATTGCCTCCCCCTCTGTGACTCTGGTTCCTGTCTGTATATGGTCATTTTCTCCCTTGATTTTTCCAGTGGCTCTTGTAGCATAGTTTGCCTCAGCATTCGACTTATCTCCCTCTCTATCTGCACCAGCTGCTTTTTTCCTTTTACTCCCTGACCCTTCTTTGCGGGCTCATATGACCTTAGCATAATTCATATCTCCTTCCTTCCTGTTCATCCTCTCAGCTTCATATGCTGTGTCTTCTCTGGTCACTGCCCCTGAGACTTGCTTCAGCCTTTTTAAACCTCAAACTCTAGGACCCTTACCCTGTCCTACTGCAGTTTCGACTTGTGCCTCCCATTTCTTCGTCTCCTTCCCCAAACCCTCTTTTTCCCATTTCGCAGAGAGCTCTTTCTCCATTTTTTCAGAAAGCTCTCCTAATTTTCTCTCCTTTCCCTTGCTCCATCCTTTTTCCACTGTTCCTCCATCCATTCCTCCCTACCAATACCATTGTCATTTGACCCTGATTCTACGAGCCCCAAAACATTTTTTTTTGTTTTTTTTATATTTAGTAAAAGGGGGGGGAGAGAGAGAGAGAGAGAGAGAGGGGAGAGAGAGAGAGAGAGAGAGAGAGAGGGGGAGGAAAAGAGAGAGAGAGAGAGAGAGAGAGAGAGAGAGAGAGAGAGAGAGAGGGGGAGAGAGGGAAAGAGAGAGAGGAGAGAGAGAGAGAGAGAGAGAGAGAGAGAGAGAGAGAGAGAGATGAGAGAGAGAGAGAGAGAGAGAGAGAGAGAAAGAGAGGAGAGAGAGAGAGAGAGAGAGGGGAGAGAAAGAGAGAAGGAGAAAGAGAGAGAGAAAGAGAGAAAGAGTGAGAGAAGATAGAGGGGAAAGAGAGAGAGATAGAGAGAGAGAGAGAGAGAGAGGAAGAGAGGAGAGAGAGAGAAGAGAGGGGAGAGAGAGAGAGAGAGAGAAAGAGAGAGAGAGAAAGAGAGAGGGGAGAAAGAGAGAGAGAGAAAGAGAAGAAAGGAGAGGAGAAAGATGAGAGAGAGAGAGAGAAAGAGAGAGAGAGAAAAGAGAGAGAGAGAAAGAGAAGAATTGCGGCTACACCTCATGGATGAGAAGAGACAGGCAAGGGCAAGGGGGTGGTGTTGCTGTGTGCTTCCCCTAAAAGTGTTCATCCCCAGCACATAGATTTTGCCACCCCCTACACATCTTGAAATGATGTTCTTCAAGCTCTGTTTTAAACACTAGTACCTCTGTCTAGCATGTGCAATGTACAGCCCTTTCAGTGGCAACATGCAGACCCTATCAACTTCCTAATGGAAAAAAATTTACTCCCTTCTGCTACAACACAACTGTCAACATATTATAATTGTTGGTGACCTCAACCAGCCAAACCCTTTTACAGAGGGGCTTTGATGACCTTCTTGCGTGTTGACATGAGAAACTTTGTTGATTTCCCTACTCATATCTCTGGCTCCTCCCTTGACCCAGTAGTTGAGTGATCTGGCAGAAGGCATAGTCACTTGTCAACCCCTCGGCTACTTGGATCGTCTGACCACAAGGCTGTTTTTTCCACACTTAAGATCCCAACAGAACGAGGTGAGGAGTCCACACGCACAACCTGGCTATGGGAAAAGGTAATTGGCCAGCCCTTTTTCTCTGAGCTTTGCCACCACCGACTGGATCTCTTCTCCAGGGGGATGTTGACAACCAAGTGAAAGCCTTCACTGGACACATCCTTAATCTGCAACAAGAACACATTCCCCACCGGCAATATGTGACAAAGCCTACAGATCAGCCTTGGTTTGGCTTTCGTTGTAGAGAGGCTGCTACTGCTAAGTACAAAGCATGGCGAAGGTATAAGAGACATCCTAAACCCCCTATAACAGGAAAATTGCACATGCAAGCCTGTAGGCATATGGGTGATGTTCAAAAGTGGGCCATTGCTAATGGGAGGTGGACACTAAAAGAAAGTTAGCATCAGGGAGGTAGGCTCCAAAACCTGGTGGTCCCTGGTCAAGGACAGACAAGGTTAAACTGCCTGATGAACTTATTCCACCTCTAAATCGACAGGATGGGACCACCCCCCTACTAGTAGTCAAGAGAAGGCGGACCTCTTTGCTGAACACTTTGCTACCAAAATGCAAGTTTTCCCGATCCAAGCAAGGGACCCTCCTTGGCTAGCTGCAAGAACTGTTTCAAAACTGTCAGTGGTGAAATAAGGCAGGAGGAGGTTTCATTTCCTTCTTAAATCACTTGACCAGGAAAAGGCTGTGGGCCCAGACAAGTTGAGCCCAAGATTGTTGAGAAGATGTGCAGACGAGCTAGCAGCACCTCTAACTCGCATCTTTCAGCACTGCCTAGTACAATGCAAATGGCCCTCTCCATGGAAAGAGGCAAATGTAGTCCCTGTTCACAAAAAGAAGAGCAGAGCAGAAATCAGCAACTACAGACCAGTGTCACTCCCGGTCAATCACTGGTAAAATCCTTGAGCAATAATCTCAAGACAAATGACAGATTTTTTTGACTTTCCACTCACTACTTTGTGATCGTCAATATTTGGGTTCAGGAAAGGTTACTCTGCTGCTGATCTGTTGTTAAACCTCTCCACTAAGTGGCACCAGTCACTGGATGAATCCAAAGTCAGCTGTGTGGTAGCACTGGACAT